TATCCATCACATGGAATGTTTTTCCTTTTGTCTGTATCATCTCTGATTTCTTTGAGTAGTGGTTTGTAGTTTTCCTTGTAGATATCTTTCACCTTCCTGGTTAGCTGTATTCCTGGGTATTTTATTCTTTTTGTAGTAATTGTGAATGGGAATTTGTTCTTAATTTGGCTTTCTGCTCACCTGTTGTTGGTGTATAGGAATGCTAGTGAGTTTTGCATATTGAGTTTCTATCCTGAGTATTTGCTGAATTTGCTTATCAGCTTAAGAACTTTTAGACTGAGACTATGGGCTCTCTAGATATAGAATCATGTTGTCTGGAAACAGGGATAGTTTGACTTCCTCTCTTCCTATTTGGATGTTCTTTCTTTCTTTCTCTTGCCTGATTACTCTGTCCAGGACTTCCAGTGCTTTTCAAATAAGAGTGGTTACAGAGGGCATCCTTGTCTTATGATGGTTTTCAAGGGGAATACTTCCAGCTTTTGCCAGTTCAGTATGATGTTGGCTGTGGGGTTGTAATATATTCCCTCAATACCTAGTTTGTTGAGAGTTAACGTGAAACGATGTTGAATTTTATTGAAAGTCTTTTCTGCATCTATTGAGATGGTTATTGTCTTTAGTTCTGTTTATGTGACAAATCACATTTATTGATCTACATACATTGAACCACACTTGAATCCCAGGGATAAAGCCTACTTATTTGTGGTGAACTCACTTTTTGATGTGCTGATAAATTCAGTTTGCCAGCATTATGTTGTGGATTTTTGCATCGATGTTCGTCAAGGACATTGGCCTGAAGTTTTATTTTTTTGTTGTTTTGTCTGCAAGGCTTTGCTATCAGGATGATGCTGGCCTCATAGAATGCATTGGAGAGGAGTCTCTCCTAAATTTTTTTGGCATAGTTTCAGTAGGAATGGTACCAGCATTCTTCGTATATCTTATAGAATTTGGCTGTGAATCAGTCTGGTCCTGGAATTTTTTTGGTTGATAGGCTAATACTGATTCAATTTCAGAGCTTATTATTGGTCTCTTTAGGGATTCAATTTCTTTCTGGTTCGGTCTTGGGAGTGTGTATGTGTCCAGGAGTTTATCCATTTGTTGTAGATTTTCTAGTTTATATGCATAGAAGTGTCCATAATATTCTCTAATGGTTACTTGTATTTCTGTGGAGTCAGTGGTGTAATAATATCCCCTTTGTGTTTACTTGGATGTTCCTTTTTCTTGTTTATTAGTCTAGTTAGTGGCCTATCTGAATTTTTTCAAAAAAAAAAAAACAGCTTTTGGTTTTGTTGATATTTGAATGGCTTTTTGTGTCTGTCTCCTTCAGTTCAGCTTTGATTTTGATTATTTCTTGTCTTCTAGCTTTGGGGTTGGTTTGCTCTTGTTTCTCTAGTTATAATGTTAGGCTGTTAATTTCAGATCTTTCTAACTTTTTGATGTGGGTGTTTAGTGCTGTAAGTTTCCCTTTTAACTCTTCTCAGTTTCAAAGAGCTTCTTGGTTTTTGCCTTCATTTCATTATTTGCCCAAAAGTCATTCAGAAGCAGGTTAATTTCCATTCCAGAAGCAGGTTAAATGTATAGTTTTGGGACATATTCTTCTTATTAAATTCTGTTTTTATTGCATTGTGGTCCAGGGGTGTGGATGTTTTTATTTCAGTTTTAATTTTCTGGGGACTGTTTTATGTTCAATTGTGTGGGCAATTTTAGAATATGTGCCATGTGGCAATGACAAGAATGTATATTCTGTTGTTTGGTGGTTGCAAGTTCTGCCCATTTGGTCAAGTGTCAAGTTCAGGTCCCAAATATCTTTGTTAATTTCCTTCCTAGTGATCTAATACTTTCAGTGGGGTGTTGATAGCTCCCACTATTAGTGTGAGGGAGTCTATGTCTCTTTAAAAGTCTCTAAGAACTTGCTTTATGAATCTGGGTGCTCCTGTGTTGGGTGCATATATATTTAGTTTAAGTCTTCTTATAGAATTGAACCCTTTACCATTATGTAATGCCCCTCTTTGTCTTTTTTAATCTTTGTTGGTTTAAAGTCTTTGTGTTACTAGGATTGCAACCCCTGCTTTTTAATGCTTTCCATTTGCTTGGTAGATTTTTCTCCATCCCTTTATTTTGAGCCTGTAGGTGTCACTGGATGTAAGATGAGTCTCTTGAAGATGGCATACCATTGGATCTTGGTTCTTTATACAGCTTGCCATGCTGTGCCCCTTTTTTTTTTTTTTAAACTGTGGTATTTAGCACATTTACATTCAAGGTTAGTATTGATATATGTGGATTTGATCCTGTTGTTAGTTGTTTATTATGCTAACCTGTTTGTATGGTTGCTTTATAGTGTCACTGGTCTGTGAACTTAGAATTTTTGCAGTGGGTGGTAACAGTCTTTCCTTTCCGTATTTGATGCATCTTTCAGGAGCTCTTGTAAGGATGATATTACGGTGACAAATTCCGTCAGCATTTGCTTGTCTGAAAAGGATATTATTTCTCCTTTGCTTATGAAGCTTAGTTTGGCCATATATGAAATTCTTGGTTGAAATTTCTTTTAAGAATGTTGAATATAGACCTCCAATCTCTTCTGGCTTGTAAGGTTTCTGCTGAGAGGTCCACTGTCAGTCTGATGGGCTACCCTTTGTAGGGGATCTTTCTCTCTAGCTGCCTTTAACATTTTTTCTTTCATTTCCACCATGGAGAATTTTATGATTATATGTCTTGGGGATAACCTTATTAAATATTTTGCATTCACTGGATTTGAATGTTGGCCTCTATAGCTAGGTTGGGGGAGTTCTCGTGGATGATCTCCTGTAATATGTTTTCCAAGTTGCTTCTCTCCCCAACTCTTTCAGTAAATGAAATACAAAATATATTCAAGCACTTCAATAATAGTTTAGATAAAGCAGAAGAAAAAATACCAGAACTTGAAGACAGGTCTCTTGAAATAACCCAGTCAGACAAAAATAAAGAAAAAAGAATTTTAAAAGGATGAACAAAGCCTGTGTGACATATGAGACACCATAAACTGACCAAATATTCAAATTTTTGGTGTCCCAGAGATGAAGTGAAAAATGAAAGGTATAGGAAACATATTTAATGAAATAATAGATGAAAGCTTCACAAGGCTAGAAAATTATTTACATATCAAGATACAGGAAGCTCAGAAATCCCCAAATAGACATACTGCGAAAAGGTTTTCTCCGTGGTACATATAGGCAAACTATCAAGAGTCAAAGAATCTTTAAAACAGGAAAAGTATCTAGTCACTTACAAGGGAACCCCAATCAGAAAACATTGGATTTCTCAGTAGAAACCTTATAGACCAGAGAATAGAATGACATATTCAAAGTGCTGAAGAAAAAAAATGGCAGCCAAGGATATTATACCTGACAAAGTTTTCCTTCAGAAATGAAGGATAAATAATGCCTTTTCCAGACAAGGAAATGCTGATGGAATTCATCACCACTAGGCTGGCCCTGTAAGAAATGCTTAGGGGAGTCCTACACCTGGAAGCAAAAGAATGACATCATGAAAACACTTGAAAGTAAAACCCAAATGGTAGAACAAACATACAAATAAGAGAAAAAATACAAAGGATACCACTACAGAGAACCACCAGACTACAAAGATAAACAATAAAATATTACATATATGCCGTAAAAATGTACAAATATTGTGTGGCAGTAAAAAAAAGTTTTTTAATCAGATATGATAGAAAGTCAACCAAGATCAATTAGAAATCATTTTAAAACCTACTTGAAATGTAGCTCTACAAATTAATTTAAAATATCACTTACTTCATGTTTATCTTTTTAAATTTCATGTTTTGAACCTATATAAGCAAATATAATTTCCAAATAAACTTAATACATAAAAAATAGGATAGTTCTTGATTAAAGAGTTTTGACTTTAAGCGACCATACTAATACCCAGGTAAATGCAACCTTGCCATCAGAATAAGCAGCCTGACCTAGAGCATATTTAACATTACTCAATTGTTGTAACAAATGAACCAAAATCTGCCTCAAGCTAGAGCTTCACAGAACTTTTATCACCAGAATTGCTAGCAAGTACCAGAATTACATTTTTCTGCCTAGTTTATTATGCTGTCCCTGCTTCCTAACACGAATAAACACAGAAATACTTAAAGTAGAAAGTAGATAAGTAAAAAGCAAAAGATTAATAGGTTATCAGTCCTCAGAAAATTGAATTTTGTTTTTTAAATGACTTTGAGTTTATATATTGGTCAACCAAAAAAAAAAACAAGTTGCTATTAAGCAGGTTTTTTCTCAAGCTCTAATTAGCATTAAATATACAAAAGAAAATTGTATTTCATGGTGTAATATTTCTCAGAAATATCATATTCATTTAGTAATAAGTAGACTATAGTTTACTTTCAAGATTTGCTTTTTCTCTACCAACCAATCCCCATGCTTTCAATTCTCTGGAAATTAAAGCTAAATTTCTTTAAAGGAGTATCATTACATCTGTCCAGTTTATTCGATGCTAAAACAAAATAAGATATTATTCTTAGAACCTTGCTCAAAGAATTAAACTGAATGAAATTCTCATAAGATACAAGGTTAAGTGGGTGATCAGAAGTTATAAAAGCAGTTGTAAAAATAAAACATGAATAAAGTTTAAATTTAGAAAATATTCTCTTGAAAATAATTACATTTGATTCCCACAAATTTTTGAAGAAATCAGATAGCAGAAATGAGAAATTCATGACCAAAAGAGATAAATGTCTTGCCCCAGTGAAGTGGCAGACCTAGGCAAATCTCCTGACTTAATATCCTGTGTTCTTTGCTACCCTGCCTTTAATGCCCTGAACTAGAAGAGGCTTCTAATAGTTGCTTGTCGTTGAAAAAACTGTCGGGAAGCAACATAAATCCACTCAGTGAAATCAAGATATGCTTTGTTTAATTGTACTTGTGTTCATGTTGCAGGTTCTTTTCTGAGTACTAGCTTGAATTTAATGGGCTTTAATATGTTCATACATCTTCTAGGTTTCCACAGACGTGCAGCTCCAGTTACAAGAAGGCAGTTCCCGCATGGTGCACACAGGATGGATTACCTGCACTTTGAGGATGATAGCCGTGGATGGTGGTTTGACATGGATATGGTGATCATATATATTTATTCAGTGAACTGGGTCATTGGATTCATTGTTTTCTGCTTTCTTTGCTATTTTTTCTTTCCGTTTTAGGAATTTTCATACCTTACTACAGTTGACCAATCATAAATGATGTAAATAACAATTGCTTAAACATTTTTAAAATGTGCTTTGAAGTTTTTTTAATGTTGCATTATACAAATTGTTGGTGTTTATACAAAGCCTGAGAATAATGAATTCATTTATTAATGTTTTTCATGTAACAAACTAAACCTTATTCAAGAGCTAACCTACCCACCACTTAGCAACAATGCACTATTAATTTCATAGTTGTTCTTGGGTTAGGGTTTGGGGCTCTGATTTTATAATATCACTAATACTTATTTTGATTGTAAAAAACTGAAGTTTTCTCTCCACTTAAAATAGTAAAAATACAAAAAGAAATGATAATCTAGGTAGATTTTATCTTTACTGATAAAATATTTAATCAATCACCACTTATTCTCAAATTATATGTATTAAAGATAAACCATATTCTCTGGGAAATAATGTAGCAGGGTATGTTCAGTTTTGCTTTCTAATTATCACTACTTATATCCCTTTCTATTACCAAGAAAACTGACTATTCTTTTTGTACAGATCTAATTAGTGCAACATTTTAAATTATTATAAACTGAATAGTAAATACAAATCATGAGACTAATCTCTACGAACAGACACTTTAGAGAGCTATATTAACACTTTCCAGATAGAAGGATTAATCACCTGAAGACATAAAAATTTACCGACTTTTAGTAGTCTAAAAGAGCAGTGCATGTCCAAAATGTAGTTTAGTGATTCATTTAATGAGGAGATGGTCAAATATATTGTAAATGTGCAATAAAGAGTGGCTTTTAATTTTTTTTAAGTTTTTAAATGTCTGAATAAAGAATTGTTAGAAATAGGCTTATGGATTTATAGAAAGAAAGCCTGACATTTTTAATTACAGTAATCATTAATTTTTTCATTATTAAACTTTAAAAATAGGAGACCTGAATCATTAGAACGTGGGATAGAATTGGGGCAGGTAACCCAATTTGAAAAATGAAAAACTGGAGCAGAGACTTAAGCTTATTTATTCAGTTATTCTGGTGGTCTTTGTGAAACCTCGGACAAAAGTTTTTATTATGAATTACTCATCCAGTATTACTACATTGTGATGTCATATATCTGGTAATTCAATAAGCATACTTTTACATAAACTAGGTGACTCTCTCATGGCACTAAAAATACTACCACTATCCAAAAACATTGGGATCAACTGGACTTTAACAGTTTCAATCTATGAAAAGCCAAAATTTAGGCTAATTGCTACTAACTGTATTTCAATAAAAGCACTTGACTGTTGGTATGTGATGTTCTAAGAAATCTAGAAGAATGGTACTGATTTCTATTCTAATGCTGTTATTATTGTGTTTTAAATTATATCTATTACAGAAAATAGTATATACTAGACATCAAATCTAGAAATCAGAAAACTAAATGTAATTTAGAAACACAGAGATACCTTTATACTCATAAATGGATATTTATAATTACTAATTCCTCAAAGTAAACATAAGGGAAAATATCAGCCCTCTTAAAATATATAACAAGATTGAAAAATTAACACACACCTGAGGAGTTGCATTATTTTAAGAACTTTAAATTGCAGCCATTACCTAGGCAACTTCTGGTTTATACACTCTAGAAAATATATCTTGATTCCTTCCTAAATTTCAATAAAAGCTTAGTTTAATTATGTATAAACTAAATAAGTAGTATTATATATACAGATCTCTCATAGAAACAAAGTTGATTCCCAGTATATATTTGTTAGGTCAGTGATACATATCCGTTTATAGATCTCAATCCACTAAATATTTATGATACCCTTAAATAAATATTAACCTTTAAATGAAGAAAGTATTATCTGGAAAAGCATTCAAAATGGATTGAGTATATACATCTTGACTAATAACTTGATCTGAAAATTATAGAATATTAAAATAAGTAAATTCATGAAATTATAAATTACTCATCTTACTTTAAAATATTCTTAAATTTTATACAAGTGGAGATAAAAAAACTGCTAAATATTAAGAAGTATGGCATTTCCTAGATCCACCAGCTTATGAGAAGCCAGATAAAATCTCAGATGGAAAGAAACAAGTTTCTTCTGGTACGTAGCACACAGTAGCCATTCAAAATAAAATACATGGATGAGCTTTAGAGTAAAACAAAAAATTATAATGCTCTTCCTTAGCATGTCTCACAGTAAAAACTCATTGTCCAATAAAGAACCAAAGAAGGGAAAAGAAGAAAAATGTTAAAGTTAACAAAGTATAGTACTTGTCCCAAGTAATATTATTTAATAAGCTTAATTTTATGAGTTATTACCTATAATAATTTCTATTTCTACCAAACTTAATTATGGTAAAGGTTAATTTTAAACATGTTCACACATTCTTTTAAAAAAATGCCCTAATTGAGGTACATTTCTGAATAGTTTCAGCAGATTATTTTTTAATTTTACAAAAGCAAATTCACAAATCCAGATCCATTTATTTTATACTTAGCAGAAGATAGGGAAATTTAAATTTGACAAAGTTGAAAAAGAATCAGAATTTATATTTTACAAAGCTACCAGTATGAATCCAACAAAATCAGGAATGGGAAAAACATTTTCTGTACCTGCTATATTATTAATGCCACTCTAGTATTATATGCTAAATATGAAAGCAGTGCTGCCATCAGATTCACTTCTGCCTTGGAATCTTGCTCCTAAGTTCTATGGCATAACAAAATTCCAGTTAATAAAATTTTCATTTAAATGTCTTTTGTATGGCTAAATACACAGATTCTTAAACATCTAATTTTTATATGGATTTCTCAAAGAATGCCTTATAGAAGAGCATTCTCTGACTGAATGCAATTACAGTTGAAGTCTTTGATTCTTCACAGAATTCTGTAGTTGAAGCCAGAGAACACTGTCATTTAGGAAAGTGTTCCTAAAGGTTTGCATGCTTTAACATGCTCAATTCTTACTTCTTGAAGTGTTTGATTGTCAGTAAATTTTCAAAGAACATTAAAGTTCTACCAATGTATACTTTTTTCCCAGAATGCATTTATTTTTCTTGTGCTTTTTCTTGAAGACAATACCTATAATAATTACTTTACACATTTCAGTTTTTACTTTTTCTTGCATAGATCCTGGAAGAACCATCATCAAGAAGTATCTTTAGACCATGGTATTATCATATTACAGTAACAAGCATCTACTAAAATATGTACTTATCTTACATCCATGCTTCTATTGTAGGGTCAGGAAAACAAATACTTTACCATTTCCACTGTCCTTGAGGATCTCTCATATTGTACAATAGATATACTTTGATCATTATTTTTCTTATTTCAGTACTTCTAAAAGTAGTTTTTGGACTAGTATTACAAACTTATGGATATTTCTCTTTCTATATGTTACTATTAAGTACTGTAAAACATGATCCTTCTAAACTTCCCTCACTCTTTCACATATCAAGTCTAAGAACCTCATCTAGAGCATGTCCAGTAAATAAAGAGAATAGTTAAGTAACTGCCCACTACAGTGAATTTTTATTACTGGTAACAGCCTTGCAAGAGACAAATAGTGTTCTTCTAGAACTTGATAAATATTTTACTTGCTTTACAAGAGTCACCTTGTCTACCAACAAAACTATTCAGGGGAAAAGGGAAGTGAGGGAAGACAGCAGCTAACATTTATATAACTTCTGTATGTTTGCTGGTTACATTAATGTGTTATTTAATCTTCTCAATACTCTGTATCAGATGACATCCTCATGTTACAGATGAGGAAGAGAAGTAATGTAACCAAAGTCACACAAGAAGGATTATTCTGTCATATTCTAAGACCTTTTACTCTTTTCACTATACTGTCAGTAATATCTGGTAACTTGATGAAGTTCAATATTCACTGAGGAAGTTTTGGTAACACTGCCAGAGAAGCATGAGGAATAAAAGATGGTCTGGATTAAGAATGCAGGAGTATGATACTTGTACTTTGTTTTTGACAATTTTCATTGCTTGTAACAATGAAAAATTTTAATATTTGCAGGAGACTAATATGAAATGCTACATTTTATAACTTTTATTCTGCTGGCAACTTTGATTTCTGGTAGCTGCCTAGAATGCTTTATTAAGAAGGATTCTGAGGTTACATCCAGGATCCAGGGGGAAAAAGTTTTCTGGATCCACTGGCATTGCCCCTCAAATATAGGGGAAGGAGGGTCTTAAGGGAAAATTAGCCATCTCTGATATTTCCCATCCTTGGATAAGGGCACAAAAAATCATTCATGTTTTAGAAACTGGTCTTGCCATTTGTTAAGGGGAACAAAATGTAGTTTCCTGACTATAATTAATAATACTATGATATAGTCCAATTTAGCTGTGATATAATTAATAAACTACTTTCCAGTAGTTTATTACTAAACATCTCATTTTGCCTTAAAACAGAAGCTTAATAGGAACCTAATTGTGAATTACATCGATTTTTAAATCATAATGATGTAGCTATAGTGTAATTTTCTCATTTTAGAAAAATGTGAACTGTCATTCAAAAAATGAAGTAGAGTTCTGATTTGTACATTCTGCAAAACTAAATGGACACTACTGGCTATTCTGATTCCAATATTGCAAGTAAATTGGGCAGACAGGAATATAGTACAGAAATCAACCTAGGTTCCGATTTGCAAATACTACAAAACTAAATGGACACTACTGGCTATTCTGATTCCAATATTGCAAGTAAATCGGGCAGACAGGAATATAGTACAGAAGTCAACCTAGATCAGAAGTCAACAGCAATGCCTTTTAAACCTTCATATGCCTACATTAAATCTTGGTAAAATGTATATTTTTATTCAGAATGTGTAGGGTAGACCTGAGATTCTACGTTGCTAATAAGCAGTCAGTGATACTTGTTTGCTGCCCCATAGACCACACCTGGGATAGCAAGAAACTAAAGGAAGCACATCTGAAAAGGTGGCCATGAATCTTGCTTTCTTATCATTAACTGTCCCCAAAAGACAAATTTCACATTGTTTTTGCATTTGAGAATTACATAATACTGGTTATCCAATATAAAGGAAGAATAATGAATTATGCTATAAATAATTTCATATAAATCTATTGAATAAGTTTTTAACATTATCTGGCACATATTAAAGTCTAGGTATCAATATATAAGTATTTTATTTAAAATCTGTAATTCAAACTTTTTCTTTTCTTTAAACAAAAAAAATTATTTTCCCACTCTTCCTGTTCTCTCTCTTTACCCATTCTTTCTGTGGCTATCTCTAGCTAGACTCTATTCAAATAGAACAAATGTGAGATTATATATAGTCACTTATAAAACCACATCTGGAAATAGAAAACAAAATACACTCTGGCACGTCTGCTCACTTCTAATTTTTAGTACATATTATAACTGCAAAAATCAAGAGACCTTATCATCATCTTGGGTTATACGACTAAAATTCACTTTATCTTTCTTTCCTCATTTTCCTCACCTGTAGAACTGTGCATAACACAAACCTTCCCACAATTCTGCTGCCATAAAATTCAATTTACAAGAAAATTGTGAATTGAAACACCTATTATCCATATATTTTCATGGTGATTCTTCATAATATAAGGAGAAGGAGCTGCAGTTGTTCAGTGCTAAATATATGCCAGGTACTATACAATGCTTTGCACACAGTATCTCATTTCATATAACAACCCTAAAATACTTTTGTTAACACATCCATTTTATAGACAAGAAAATTGGAGCTCAAAAAGGTTAAGTAGCTTTCTTAAAGTCCTATAGCTACCAGTGGTACAGCTAGGAGTCAAATCCAGGTCTGACTAGTTCTTGAGGCTATATTCTTGTCACTACATACAGCTACAAAGTTCATTTCCTGATTTAGTTTTTCTTTAACAGTAACAAAGTAAAATGAAAATTCAGTAAAACAAAAATTCTACCATAGTGAAATTTCTAGGGGTCCAGTGATCTATAAAATGTCAAGATTCCCCTTCCAAGGTAAAAGATAAAGTGCTGCATCTAACCTTCCTGCCACTAAAATAGAGGCACAATGCCCAAGGGATCCTCTTTAGATTTTGGATATAAGATACACCTTATTGGGGGTGGCTATTCTGACCCATTTGCCAGATCATGCAAAGAGGTGGCAGTATAGAATATGGCCCAGACAAAAGAAGGCTCTTCAATACGTTCATGTTGCCATACAAACTGCTCTGTCAATTGGGTCACATAATCTAGCAGATCCAATGGTACTTAAAGTATAATTGGTAGATGAGGTTGATATTTGGAGCCTTTGGCTAGCTTCACTAGGTAAATCACAGCACAGACCTTTAGGATTTTGGAGCAAAGCTACACCATCCTCTGCGGATAACTACTCTCCTTTTGAGAAAAAGCTTTTGGCCTATTACTAGGCCTTAGTACAGACAAACACTTGATCATGGGCCACTAAGTTACCCTGCTACCTGAAGTTCTCATCGTGAACTGGGTGTCGTCTGACAAGATATAATGTTGAGTGTGCACAGCAGTACTCTGTTATCAAAGGGAGGCAGTATATATGAGATCAGACTTGAGGAGGCCCTTAAGGCACAAGGAAGTTACATGAGGAAGTTGCCAGTATGTCCATGGTCCCTATTCCCCCTACGTTACCTTCTCTCTTTCAATCCATACCTAAGTTGTCCTGCCTAAGACAAGTTGACTAAGGAGGGAAAAAAAGAAAAAAAAAACCCTCAGGTCTGGTTAACAAATGGTTCTACATTGTATGCAAGTACCACTCAAAAGTGTACTCTGCAGCCTTACTCTGGGCCTCCCTGAAAGACTGTAGTAAAGGAGAATCCTCCCAGTGGGCGGAACTTCAAGCAGTGCCCTTGCTTGGTTATTTTTCCAAAGAGAACAAAACAGCCAGAGATACCAGTCTGTAATGGATTGACTTTGACAAATGGTTTGGCTGAAGGGTCAGCGATTTAGAATGAACACACTTGAAAAATTGTTGGCAAGGAGGTTTGGGAAAGAGGAATCTGGATGGACCTCTTCTAGAATGGCACCCAGAAATATTTGTGTCAATATGAATTCTCACTAGAGAGTTACGTCAGTGGAGGAGAATTTTAACAATAAAATGGGAAGAGTGACCTGTTGTGTAGACACCAGTCAGCCTCTTTCCCCAGCTACTCTAGTTATTACCAAAACACTTTGTTCAATGGGCTCGTGAACAAAGTGGCCATGGTGGCAGGGACGGAGGGTATGCATGGGTTCAGCAACATGAATCTCTACTCATCACAACAAACACTGTTGAGGACCTAGACTGCCAGCAGCAGGGACCAACAATAAGTCCCTGATATGGTGTTTCCTGGGGTAACAGGCTGGGGGCAGGTTTATTATGCACTGGACTGCTTTCTCATGGAAGGGGAAGCATTTTGTTCTTCGAGGAATACACTTTTACACTGAATATGATTTTTTCTTCTCTGCATATGATTCTTCTGCTAAAATGACCAAGTATAGACCTACAGAATGCTTTGTCCACTGTCATGTATCCCACTCAATATCAATTTTAATCAAGAACTCATTTCACAACTGATGGAAGTTACTGATCTCCTCATTTTCCCCATAATCCCAAAGCAGCTGGTCTGACAATTGTGCAAAGGCCTTTGAAGACCCAGCTAAGGTAACAAGTGGTGTTACTTTGCAGGGCTGGGGCAGTGTCCTCCAGAATGTGGTATGTGGTCTAAATTAGCATGTAGTATATAGTGCTGTTTTTCCCATTACCAGGATTCACACACCCAAGAATCAAGAAGTGGAAACAGGAGAGGCCTCTTTACTACTCCTAGGGATCCACCACCAAAATTTCTTCTTCCTGTCCTCATAACTTTAAAATATGCTGGCTTAGAGGTCCTAGTTCCAGAGGGAGGAATGCTTCTACTAGAGGAACAATGATTCCACTAAACTGAAAATTGAGACTGCCACCTGGTCGCTTCGGATTTTTTATGCCTGTGAATGAACAAACAAGGGGGTTTCTGTAATTGCTGAGGTAACTGCTCCCATCATGAGGGGA